CCACCGACGCGGTCCACTGGTTGAAGCTCTTAGAAGACGCGCATGCTTGCCCGTTCATCCTGGAACGCGAGCAGCTCATGATGTGCGAGTGCGCCGATCACAAAGAGTTTGAACATCTATCAATGGATGCAATTTTCCGGGCCATGGGCCCGTCAAACAAGGGGAAGAGGGCGAGGAAAGGTGAGGTGATGGGGGAGAGGGGGGGGGGAGGGGGGGGGCTGTGATCCCACCTCATTCGTTTGGATATGATTGAAATTCCAATGCGAAAGAGGTGGGGGGGGGGGGCAGGGCGAGGGGCAGAGCAGCGTTGCAGGGGCGGGGAGCGAGGGCTGAATCTCGCGTTGTCTTCTGGGCAGGTGATGATGCGCGCGCGGGGACAAGCTGATGTTCGATCTTCCGGTGCAGTGCGAGACGCGGCCCCTGTGCCTGACGCGGAAGCACCTCGTCGCGTCCTCACAGTGCTTGGTCGCACGGGTGCGCTAGTGGGGATGTCGTTGGTTCGCAGCGAGGCCAGCCCTATTATCCGAGACACATTGCAGAGCATGTGGCCTCAGTATTGCTGCGATCAGGTAACGTCGGTTGCGTCTGACCATTGCAGCGGCACGCTCTTCGAGCATCTCAAGGCAGTGTTTCCGAATTTGAGGTTCTTGTCCCTGGATCCCGTGCACTTGCCCATTGCTTATGAATGCCCCAGTCGGTACGCCGCAGCATCATCTTAAGGCGCGAGAAGGAGTTTGGCATGCTATCTGGGAGCCCATGGAGGAGCACCCTGATGATCCTTGCCTGGCCCTGGATTTCCCGCCGATACCTCCTGACGGCCTTGCATCCTTGCCTCGCCCGTCTCTGGACAAGTACAGACAGATGTGTCGCGGTACAAGGCTCGCACGTCGGTTGGATTGGACTCTATGCATCCACGTCACCATGCGCTACTGTCTGATTCGTCTCTTCTTGCCTTGTTTGGCATCTGGCGTGCTGTTCTGCGAATGGGTAGATTTCCTCCCATTCTCACTGTTTTCATCATGAATTTGATACCGAAGACTGACGGCGGCGAGCGTACTGTGGCTTTGTTCACGACGTGTGTGCGCACGTTCTCTCGGTTCTTCAGGCACACGTACGGTGTTATGTGGGCGCGCTTGCATCCTCGTCCATACGTGTATGGTGTGCGCGGTCATTCTTGTCAAGCATGTGTGTGGCGCATGGGCGTGCTAACGGAGCTGGCAGCTGCCAAAGGTTTGTCTGTGTTTGCACTCTTGCTCGACATCCAGAAGGCTTTTGAACAGGTTCGCCATAAACTTCTCATTAGACGAGCTAGTGAGTTTGGGTATCATCCAGCACTCTTGAGGGTTTTCCTGTCTCTGTATCGTTCCCCACGTGTGGTCACGCTGCGCCGAATCGTCGGGGAGTGGGTCAGGGCTAGTAAAACTATTGTGGCTGGTTGTTCCTTTGTCGATCCGTCTATGCGTATATTATTGATGCCTGAGTTGGATTCCTTTCGTCAGTCTTATCCAAATATACATCTCGGCCTCGTCGCCGACGACGTTCAGGTCCTGGGGATAGGCACGGAGAGGGAGTTGCTCAAAATGGGTCTTGGTGCCTCACACCTTTTGATGAGCAAGCTGACTTTCTCTGCATGTTTGCCACCCTCTGAGAAGAAAAGTGTGCTCTTGGCTACCGACCCCCAGTTGGCCCAGAGCATTGCAGCTGAAACCCCACGTCTCGCTGGTGCCGTCAAGTTCTCTTGTCGCAACCTCGGGATTGACTATCAGCTACGTCAGGGGCGTCGCTCTCGTATTGTCCTCAACGGTCGGTTGAAGAAGGCCATGTCTAAGGTCCGACGCCTTTTGAAGCTAAAGAGAGCTGGTGCCAAGGTTGCAGGCATTGTAAACACCAACCTGCGGCCCACGGTCATGTACGGCATCGATGTCGTCGGTCTGTTTAGCCATCAGATTCGTCAGGTTCGTACTATATACCACGTTGGTCTCGGCACAGGTAAGCGTCGGTCTGTCACGATGGATTTGGCGTTGCATGGTGTTACCGACACTGCGATTGATGCACATGCTGAAGTTATTCGCTTCTGGACTGTCTCTAGATGGGATTATCTCTTGCCCGTCGGTATGATAGACCAAGTTTTCCAGGAAGCCTACACCAAGGTGACGCCAGATACCCCGTGGACTGACTTGCAGGGCCCAGGACAGATATTGGTAGCCACTATGCGTAGGATTGGGTGGTCTGCGGTCTCGCCCACACTTTGGCAGAATTCTCTTGGAACAGATGTTGATATTTCGTCTACGTCCCCCCGTGAGGTGGTTGCATTGGTGACTCGCGACGCGTCTGTTTGGGCTTGGAAGCAGGCCTCTGAGCGTCACCCATCCTTCAGTCACCTGTCTGGGCCCCCCTTCCTGCCTCCTCTACTTTCCCTCCTGCCAAAAAAGACTGAAGGATGGGGGGTGCTCCAGCAACGTGCTCTGGGGACTTTTATATCTGGGGGCATATACTTTAAACCTCGGTGCCCCATTTGTCAGCTTGTCCCTTCCGACCCCGTGTTTCACACCCTCTATGAGCGTGATGGGCTGTTGGAGTTTCGTCGCTGGTTCGGCCCGACTCCAGCCCTCACCCGCTGCATAGAGCAGTATCGCGAGAACCCTGTCCGGACCGCGGCCATGGTTCCCGACCCGCGCTATTGCTCCTTGCTCGCACCACCTTTCCCAGACCCTGTCTGGGAAGGGGCCATCGACGGCCCCTTTTTCTCGTCGCCTGCGTATGGAGATGGCTCGGGAAAGCATGGTCCCTCGCCGCTCACTCTCCGCTGTGGATGGGGTGTTTGCTCATTTGCCTCGCGTAGCCAAAACGTCTTTGGTAAGCCCCTCGCCAATGATCGGCTTCGTCTTAGTGCTGGTGCCTATGGCGTGCATCCCTTTCTCACCCAGGATGTCTCAGGGGCTGAGCTCTACGCGTTTTTATTTTATCTAACCCATGCCGCCCCCTCCGACTGCTATGAGTTCGTCACGGATGCCCAGCATGTCGCTGACGGCTGGGCAATGGGGTTCGAAGCCACCACGCACGGCTGGGCCACCCATGCATCCTTGTGGGTCAGGGTCCACCGTGCGGCTTCAGATATCGGGTATCACCGAATTAAGGTCACCAAGGTCCGTGGCCACTCCACCTCTGCTGGTAATAAGCAGGCCGACAGACTTGCTAACCTAGGTGCAGACCTACATACTCTGGACACGGTCCTGCACGACCGAATCAAGCGCTCTGGATTGCTGGTGCGCAATCTTAGTGTGTATATTGGTCATTGTATAGCGTGGATGTTTAAGAATGTGCCCAAAAAGGTTTCGGCGGCGGATTCTGATGAGATCCCCACCCCCTCGGTCCCGCCCCTAGTACTCTCTGGTGCCTCCTCTGGGGCCTTGCATGAGCACTTCTGGGGCCCTTCGGCGGGCCGTTTCCGCTGTGTGAATTGTTGGGCTAGCTCGGTTTCCAAGAGCTACCTATTGCGATATCAGTGCTCCTCTCCCACTGGCGGTGGGCACGTGCTCAGGCGGTTAAATAATATTATTTTTTTGTCGCCGCTGTGGCCGCCACTCGTGTAAGAAGGTGGTTGATTTAACGAAATCCTGCACTGGCCCTCCTCGGGCCTCTGGCACCATCTCACGGCTACGCCGCATGTGTGATGGACGCGACCCCCGCACTGATCAACCAGTCGGTGATGTCACTGCCGTTGACAATGTCAACGTTATATATGCCTTTCCTGACCCTCATGATATCTTTAATTTTCAGGCACTGTTCGATCCTGCATGGCTTTTAGAGGCCCCGTCGATTTCTCGGGGTTAATATCGGAGGTGGGGTGGATATATCATGGGATCTCTGGTCTGTCTCGTCTGTTTGATGCTGGCAGGACTTCTTGGATCCCCGACACCAGCCCGCCAGAAGTGTATTTTCTATATATCGCCATGTGTGCCGACACGTCTAGGTCGTGCCAAATGTCATGCGCCGACACGTCTGTAGTCGGCTAGGCTTGGGGATAAGTGGGTACAGAGGCGCTGAGAAGCAGGCACCCGTTCCGCCTGCGCCCACTCATCCCCCTGTCGTGCTATTGTCACGCCTCCCCCCGCCCAGGCTCGCAAAGAGAAAGACTCTTGCTCCGCCTGCCGCGCGGGGTGATATCAGTGCATGCCTCTCTAGTCTATGCCACGAATCTCTCTGCCAATCGAAATGCCCCTGTGCCGACACGTCAGGGATCGTCGAGTATGCCCGAGGATGAGTGGGTACAGGGGCGCTGAGAAGCAGGCACCCGTTCCGCCTGCGCCCACTCATCCTCGTTGTGTGCTGCCTTTTCCGCCTTCCCCCGCCCAGGCTCGCAAAGAGAAGCAAAGAGAAAGACTCTTGCTCCGCCTGCCGCGTGGGGCGACATCCTTGCGCGCCTCTCTAGCTATGCCATATCTCTGCCAGTCGAAATGCTCCTGTGCCGATACGTCAGGGCTCGTCGGCTAGGCCTGAGGATGAGTGGGTACAGAGGCGCTGAGAAGCAGGCACCCGTTCCGCCTGCGCCCACCCATCCTCTCTCGTGCTCTTTTTAGCTCCCCCCAGCCCAGGCTCGCGAAGAGAGAAAGGGCTCTCCGCCGCCGTGCTGCTTGTGTCATGTCTGTATGCTGCTGCCTGGCCAGAGGTTGAGGCTGGAAGCCCAGGAGCCAGGACGCGGGCTCCAACTTTAACCGCCAGTCTTGCCAGCATCGCTTGTCTCGGGCCTTCGATTTGTCGTTGTCCTTGGTTTTCGGTTCGGTCCCCCGCTCGGCTCTGTTTGGGTCCTGGTCCGTCCCTCGCTTCTTTCGGCCCTTCCTTCGGGCCCCTCGCTCGTCGTTTCGGCGCCACGGGCAGGAGTGTTCGGCAGACGATCACCCGCGCGCAAATTATATATATCTAACAAAAAACAAAAAGAAAAGAAGGAACAATCCGTGATGATGTGCTTCGTCTTCGCCAACAGCTTCTCCAATCTTTCTTCATTGACCTTGGCTACCCGCTTGGCCTCTCTTGATGGCGGTTGTGACGGTCCCGCTTCGGCCGCCGCCGCGAGCGTTGCCAGAGCCCCCTTTCCTGATTTGCGCCGCGATGCCCTCTGACCACCTCACGGCGCGAGCCTGCGCCTCCGACACTTGCACTTGCTCCGCGATGTCCTCCACGCAGCCGTCCGCTAGTTCGTTGCCCACGTAGTTGAGCACGCTGGTGCTCGAGCTGATCCCCTCCGCCTCCGACATGTGGTTCTCGACCTCGATGGCTTCCATTTGCTTGCCCACGATTTCCTCGTTGACTAGTGATCTTCCGCAGGTCCTTATGCGTCTTAGGTACCTTGCCCGTCTTCACCTTGGCCACCCCTCGCACCGCGTAAATCGAGGCCGCAATGTACCTGAGCCGCTGAAAGCCCTTCGCGTTGATGAGCAGCTTTTTGAAGGCCATGAGCTCGCCCTGGTTGACGCTCTGCCGCCAGCCCGCGAGCCCGCCTCTCCCAACAGCAACCAATATGGGCCCCACGCCTTCGGACTCAAGCACGATCCAGCCCCATGCAATGCGACGTGGCAGTGGATCCTGCGCACGCTCCCTTCCTGACGCAACGTCTGCAGCGAGAAACCACGCCTCCTTGTCCATGTAGCCGAACTCGCCGAGCTGCTCCCGAAGCTCTTCTCCAAGGTCAGGTTGCGGCGATACCTGCGCCCAGCTCTCCAACAAAATGCCGGTTAGCCATCGGCGCGATTGCTCTCCCACCTCTTCGAGCGTTCTCTTGACCAGGCCCTTGGACTTCTCGCGCTCCTCGACGATGTCGCTACGTTCGTATTTCCACATCCTGCGAGCCGATGTCTCTTCCTTTTCGTTCCACCTCGGACACCTTACGTCTTCGATCTCGCTGCCCAAGTCTACGGCCCGCGCCCTTGGCCACGCCGCCCCTGTCGGGATGGCCCTCAGCGCGCCGGCGGTTTTTCGCGATTGCCCGTGCTCTTGAGCTCGCGCAGCGCCGCTCTAGCTGACCGCAGGTCAGCTCTGTGCTCCAGCCCTCCACCTGCGCATGTCGATGGTGATGGTGATGGTGATGATGGTGGTGACGATGATGGTGATGGTGTGATGATGATGATGATGATGATGATGATGATGATGGTGACGGCGATGGTGATTGTGATGATGGTGATGATGGTGATGATGATGATGATGATGCTGATGATTGTTGGAGACCGTTGCTGCTACATCCACCTACCTCCCTTCCCGACGCCACTTTCTGCTACGAGCCCTCCCGACGCTAGGGCGGAGGGAGGGCTTAGCTTATTTTGACGTGCCCACAGCAGAGCACGACCGCTTGTGGTGAAAAAGCTCATCACATCGACGTTGGTAGCGGAGCTACCGTCGAGTGGGTTCGATCCACGGCACGGAGTGCGGTCTCGAGAGTCGCGGCGGAAAAGCCTCAGTGAGGCCGACCCCTGTGGGGGACCAACAGTATGTCCTCAGTGAGGGACATGGACGCTTGGGCGGCAGCAGCTCGAGTCTTAGCACGGCGCGCTGAGGAAGGGAGCAGTCCCCGGGGCGGTGGCCCAGAAGAGGATGACGGCTTCCGATCGGCCGACGATGGAATGCGGGCCGATCGCGGCACGAGGCCGCCGCGAGGCGCGCCTGGGGAACTTCCCGCGGCGCGAGGAGCAGGGGCGTTGGGGCCCCTTCAGGCCGGAGCCTGATGCGGAGCCCGCCTGGCGCGGGTGGTCGGCGGAGGCCAGGGCCGACCAGGGCGGGGTTCGGGCGTCCAGCGAACGGTCGCTCCAGAGCCTGGAGTGACTCCCGCCCAGGGCGGGCGGACAGGGGAGACGAGAAGTACGTCCCCGAGTGTGGCGGGAAGTCTGTGCCGCTCCGCAATTACGAGCGCCGGGTGAAGATCTTCGAGCCGGACACCGCGATCCCGCCGCAGCGGCGGGGCGGCCGGTTGCTCTCCAGGCTCAAGGGGGATGCCGAGGCGAAGACGGCGAGTCTCGACCCCGAGGTCCTCGCGGTGCCCGACGGCGCCCAGCTGCTCCTGCGCTACCTGCGCAGCAAGTGCGACCAGCAGGAAACGCTGAAGGTCGTCGCGCTGGTGGGCGAGTTCGTGGAGAAGCTCGCGCGCAACGTCGGTGAGGGGGCGATGGGCTCTGAGGCGCGCTACGAGACGAAGACCCGCGAGCTGGAGCAGGCCATGGACGAGCGTCTCAACAAGCACCTGAAGGCGCATTACTTCTTGAAGAAGGTACGAGTGGGCGGCGGCAAGGAGAGCCGGATCACCACGGGTGCTGGCGACGAGCTGGTCTACGAGAAGCTGCGGGGCTCCGCCAAGGCATGCCTGCCCCCCGCGTCGATGCCGCGGAAGACGCCGACCCTGCCGCCGAGCGCAAGCGGTGGAGGAATGCCCGAGCCGAAACCGTCGAAGGCCAGGAAGGACCGCTGGCCGCGGCGGGGAGCGCCCCGTGCACGCGGCGCGTGACGGCCAGGACGGCCGCGGACGACGACGGCGAATGGCCCGAAGACGGGGAGTGCGACGAGGAGATGGATTCCGAGGGCGATACGGGAGCAGAGGAAGCGGCCGAGCACGAACATGTTCCCGAGGAGTTGCCGGCCTTCCTGACGGACACCGCGGCGATGATGACCTGGGCGAAGAAGGCCCGCGCAGAAGCGGGGAAGGCGCGCGACTTCTACCGCGGCGGCACGAAGGGCGGCTGCGGGCGGCTGGGCCGCTGGAAGGGCGACCCGGAACCCCCGAGGGTCCCTGGCAAGGACGGGGGAAGACGCCCTACCAGTGTCGCTTTTTTTCCAGAAGCAAAAACTTGTTAGCACTCCCCTGGGTCGTCTTGGAGGCCTCTTGGGTTATCATGTGGCCATCTTTGGGGTCCTCTTGATTGATGCTGGGCCGTCTTGGGTCGTCTCAGTATCATCTCGGCTGTATTGGAAGCCATATGTTGGAAGCCATCCTGTTGGCCGCCTAAAGGCATAAAGGCCCGTCAGAGCGGGAGCCTTCAGAGGGAGGGGGGATCACTCTTTCCCCTGTCATCCTCCTCCTCATTCCCTGGCCCCTCATGCCCGTGCCTTCCCTCCCTCCCGTCCCACCAGTTTCTCTATCCCCTCGTCGCACCCCTCCCCCCTCGTCGCACCCCTCCCCTCCCCTGCCCCCCCCTTCCGTCCCTCCTGTTTGGCCCGAAATCCCAGATTTGAAGCTGTTTGGCCCATTGGAATATGGTGGCCGTGAACGGGCGGCCTCATAGTCTTTTGTGTTTTGTGTTCAGTTTGGGCCCATGGAGCCGACATCCTCATCGTCGTCCTCGGCATCATCTCCATCGTCACCACCATCATCGGGGACGTCGCGCACTGCGGGGCCAGTCTGCGACAGCGGTGTGCAGAGTGCTGTACGCTGCGCATCTTTTTTTTCAGCGCGAAGCGATCACGTGTTCATCCTGGGCCACAGTGGAGGCGTTGCTGTAGAGGCGTTGCCCTCTGGCTCTCTCAGCATTCGTCTGGGCTTTGCCAGCGGACCGCGTGGAGTTTGTTGCAGATAAACACGGGGCCGCCACACACATCGGCACGATTTGGCCTGAAGCTGAAACCCCAGGAGCGAATCAGCCCATGAAGGTAGATAACAAACATATGGGTAAATTCGTGAGGACAGACGGATCACGACGTACATGCAAAGACGTTTCGCTGCACTTCGTCATGAGCTTCTGTTGACCACATTTTGCTTTGCAAGTCGAGCACAAGGGCTTCAAGGCTCAAGTTGATATATAGGTGATTCAGGCGCCAGTGTTGTGGAGCTGCCCAGTGTGGAACCTTTCGCAGCGAGCTGCATTGTCTTTGCGGGCATCACAGACGAATCGTACACGAGAGCGGCGCGGAGGGGGATTAAGCAGTTCAAGACGGATAATTACTTGTGCGACTTCGATGTTTTGGCTTTCTGGAGGGTGCACTCGTATGCTGGACATGTCGCTCGGAGAATTGCGACGCACTCCGATGCTATACTATCACGGGCATGTTTGCCAACTTGTGGAACAGATACCAGCATGCCATGTTCTCTGCACCAGAAGGGCGGAACCAAGGATTTCGCCGCTTTAGCTCATGGAGTGTTTGGGAGTACCAATGTGTGCGGTACTACTGGATGGACAAGAAGGTCAAGATTGGATGGGGTCGGCCAGAGACAAGAAAGCGTGGAGACGATCCGAGAGAGAGTTTGTAGAGCGGCGGCTAGGGGGCACAGCCTCGAATGCTGTCACTGCTTCAAGTTAGCTCAGTTTGCGAGCGCTGTAAACTATTGGGCCTCTGGGCCACTTAGAGCAGGTAACAACAACATCAGCAGCATTACCACCACCATCATCATCACCAAAATTGACACGATCTTCACCACCACCACCATCATCATCATTAGCACCACCACCAGCACCATCATCATCACCATCATCGTCATATTGCTGCCCGCGGCTTTTTGTGGCTCTCTTTCGGGCCGCACTACCATTCTCAAGCTTCTCTGGTGTCCTGCCTGGAATGCAGGACCTCGCCCACCATGCAGCGGGCGTCCTGAGGTTTGGGGCGCAGGCGCTTGGGGCCTCGCTGGCGGCGCGCGCTTCGGCGCCCAGTTGCGGGAACTGCTCCCCGCATTTGGCGCGCCCTGCGCCGCCGACCCTGGCTTGCCCTTCCTGCGCGTGCGCGGGCGCTGGCGGCCAGTTGGTGGAGCCCTCGTGCGCGGGCCTCGTGGCGGCCTACGCGGTGGCCGCCTGCACGGTCGGGCTCGCCGTCGGCGCTGTGGCAGGCGCCTTCTTGGCGCGCCGCGCGCTCGCACCGCCTCTCGAGCCTGCGGTTGGCGAGCTGCCCACGGAGGTGATCGACATCGCCGTCCTCGCTGCCGAGCAGGTGCGCCTCGCTCGCGCCAGAGCCCCAGCGCTGCAGTGATGGCGGGGAGCTTCCACGCCATACGCTACCGCGTCGGCGGTGTGGCCCTGTGGCACGAGCGTCTGGTACTCGGGGTCACAGCGGGGTTCGCCTACGTCGTCACGCCCGACTTCGACGACTACGACGAGCCGATCGTGGTTGGGCCCGACGTGCGGGCGGTGCTGCCGTTGGCTGGCCAGGGCGACACGCCTCCCGCGCTGGTCGGCGCCGCCGTGCATCGCTTTCGGCGCCTGCCGTCCGCCGCGGAGCTGTGGGCCGCCGTGGGTCGCTCTGTGGCTGCGGGCTACCCAATGCCACCAGATCCTCTTCCTCTGGCTCTCTCGGCGGCCAACGCGGCGGGCGCGCCTCCAGGACCCTTCCTTCTGGCCGACCCTGCTGCCGCGGCCGCGGCGCCGCCGGCGCCGCCTCTCGCACTTCCACCTGCGGCTGGTCCTGCTGCTCCCGTGCCGCCTGGCGCCGTCCCAGGAGTCGCGGCGCTCGCCGCTGCGCTAGGACCCGTGCCACCTGGCCCTGCCGCGGCGCCGCCGCTGGCGCACGTGCCTGGAGCTGCTGCTGGCGGTCCTGCCGCGGTCGCTCCGCTCCCCGCGCCCGCTGGCGATTTCAGGGTGCTGCCGATGGCGATCAACATGCGGGGGGAGCGTGAGCGGAGGTTCGGCGAGACGGTGAACGGCCTCTCCGAGACCGAGGTGCAGGGCTGGCCAGTCCAGGGCCCACGGACGCTTCTCTGGTGCCTGTCCTTCATGTCCACCATGGCGGGAACTCCCACCGCGTGGCATCAGCGCTGGCTCACGTCCATGGCTTTGGCCGACGACGACGAGCACGCCAAGCTCCACGAGACCTTGTGTCGGGTCCTGGACCTCGCCGTGGTCTACGATCAGCTGCAGGTGGCAGAGATGGCGTCG